GCGGGCGCGGCACCGAGCCTGGCAGAGCTAAGGGGGCGTCTGGGCAGCGCCCTCGGGCGCGGGCTGGGATTGCTGGGGACGGTGCTGTTCAGGGGCTTCATGATCCATGTTTATCGCCGTAAATTAAAACACAAGAAGTTTGACCTCAACACAAGAAAGAACTTTACGCCGAGGATTGCAGAGCGCTGGAACAAGCTGCCTAGAGAGGTCGTGGAGTCTCCCTGTCTTGGAGACATTCCAAACCTGCCCAGGGAAGGGGTGGATTCTCCGTCCCCGGAGGTTTAAGACAAGACTGGATGTGGCACTTGGTGCCATGGTCTGGGAACCACGGCGGGGTTGGATCAAGGGTTGGACTTGATGATCTCGGAGGTCCCTTCCAACCCAGCTGATTCTATGATTCTATGATTCCATGATTCTATGATTCCATGATTCCAGGTGGCCGTGCCCTGGCAGGGCAGTTGGACAGGGTGATCTGCAGAGGTCCCTTCCAACCCTGATGATTCTCGTGGATCCCTTCCAGCTTGCAGTATTCCGTGATGTGTTTTCCCTCTGAGGGCTAAGTCTTTCCCTAGGACAGGCTCGGAGGCAGCCACAGTGCCGAGCTCCGATTGTGTGCTGGGTGCTCTGACAGGCTCACCAGGGAATAACGGGAGGGGATTTGGTAGTGCAGGGAGCCCTGGTGTGTGAACATGAGCTACTGCAGCCCAGGGAACTGTGCCCAGGAGCCATTCCCTGGCAATAAGCAGCCTAGCTGTGTGCAGAGGGGAGCTGTGCTTCAGGAGACGTGGGTCAGGTTTGAGGGTGTGAAACGGGCTGTCAGCCTGAGCGGAGACGAGCTTTACATCTCTCCTCTCCATTTCCTCGCAAAACGCCAAGACTGGGTTTGGGTTTCACCAAGGATGGCACAAATCTTTCTGCAGAAAGGGTGAAACAAGCCCAGATTGACTCCAAATGGCTAAGGAGGATCACGATCTGGTACATAAGTCCCATGGGATTTCTTAGCCTTGATGTGCACTGCTGCTTTCTCAGGCTATGGCTTGGATGCACGTTCTGTGAGCATTCCACAAGTGTAATTTTCACTTTGGTTCTATGAGATGGCCTTTCATGGCTCTTTCATTCCCACAGGTATAGGAGTTTCTGCAACAGGAAGAAATGCAAAACTTTAGTCCTATGTTTGCTGCTTGAGAGTGGTACCTGGATACTAGAAGAAAAATGCTTTGGAAGAAAACAAGTGGGATGTGTAATGGGACATATCCAGATTTGCCAACTTTTGATTTCTGAAAAATGTTCCAATATCAAAATATTAGTTGCTGATGACAGATTTTTAAGGTCCATCTGTTTC